AAAAAAAAAAAAAAAAAAGATTCTGGGTGGATTTTTGTCCCGCCCGGCTTACCTGGGCGGCCCCCCCGGGCCCAGCCCGGGACGGGAGGGCAGGCCCGGCCGGGCGGCGTCCTCACACAGAAAAAAATATCTTGTTTTGTTGAACTTTTTTCTTTATGTTTTTTAGCCCGGCCGGGCACTTGGTATTGCCCCACTGTGGTAGCCTGGGTTCAAACTCATGAGAGGACGTTGGTTAGCAGGCTGGCTGTTGCTCCAATGTTAACAGCTCAATAGAAGGTTGCGACTGTGTGAACATATGAAAGGGCCTCGACGGAATGTTAACAGCTCAATAGAAGGTTGCGACTGTGTGAACATATGAAAGGGCCTCGACAGAAAAAGAGGGATTGCAGGCCGTTTTGATCTGGCCAATAACGGACCAGAAGAGCTGGATGGTGTTCGCATTCCTCCAAAGAGAATTTCAAAGTCGCATTTCTCTAAAAGAGTATTTCCAAGTCCAGGTCACTTTTTGCCACCACAGATCTTAGTACTATGTGCAGTGTGCTGCTACTGTGTCGGCTGGTTGCTTGCTCAGTGTTATGTGCGCTGGGTGGTACTGTGTGGGCTGGCCAGTATCTTGGAGTGGGCAGTATGTAGAGCTAAGATACTCTGTAGAGGTGGGCTGCTATTCTCTAAAAGAGTATTTCCAAGTCCAGGTCACTTTTCGCCACCACAGATCTTAGTACTATGTGCAGTGTGCAGCTACTGCGTCGGCTGGTTGCTTGCTCAGTGTTGTGTGCGCTGGGTGGTACTGCGTGGGCTGGCCAGTATCTTGGAGTGGGCAGTATGTAGAGCTAAGATACTCTGTAGAGGTGGGCTGCTATGCGCCTTGGCTTGTACTATGTGCAGTTGCTGCTACTCCGCAGGCTGGCAGCTATGTGTACTCAGTGCTATGTGCACTGGACTTGTGCCTGTCTGTGGGACAGGAGGATGACCATTGGAACGGTGGAAGAACGTGAGCTTTTGAAGGGGTGGAGGGAGGTGTCAGGTTGTTGTGAGTTCACAGTGTGGTCATGGTGGTGATAGATTGAGAAAACAAGAAAAGATGACATGAGTCATCTATCTGGCAGTGACAGATTGATACACAGTGAAAGAAGGGGTGTAGCAGGTGGGTGGCTCTAGGCAAGTACTGTTGAGGGGTGCCTTGAATCATTTAGCCGCGGGCCGCCATCAAGCTCCTCATCCACATAGTCCAATGATGGGTGTGTTGCATACTTCAATGAGTATGGGCAGAACCAAAGATCAACCAATGTAGGATGAGCATATATGCAGCGGAAGTCTGATAAATGGACTGACTCACATAGACTGACTCACATAGACTGGCTCACATAGCATCACTCCACACGCATACAATCGTGAGATGGTGGGGTCTGGGCCATTCATAGACGATG